CATTTTTACAAATACAGTATTTTATTAAATAGAATAAATATTATTTTTTTACATGAATTTAAATTAAATTTTATTTTTTTCCATCACCTTTTATTCCCTCTATGCTCTCTACCACCTCCACCCACCCCCCATGACTATGAAAAAACTATGCTGATGGAATGACAAGATTATTACTGGTAATCCAAAAAATCTGGGTTCTAGTCCCAGTTTTGCCACTATGTCTTCAGGCCAGGCACATAGTTTGTTGGGCTTCAGTTTTTTTTCATTGGTCAAATAAAGATGTTAACCCAGATTATTACTGGTAATCCAAAAAATCTGGGTTCTAGTCCCAGTTTTGCCACTAACTATGTCTTCAGACCAGGCACATAGTTTGTTGGCCTTCAGTTTTTTTTTCATTGGTCAAATAAAGATGTTAACCCTAGTACTGTTGGTTAACTCAATAAATACTCAGAAATATTTTACTGAATGAAAAGCTCTAAAGTTCTATGGTTCTATAAATCTTTTTAACAGTTATTTCAGAGGCCAAATAGCCAACAAAGCTGGTCCTACATGGTAACATCCTCTCAACTTAGACCAAAGTAACAAAATGATGAAAGGATCCTTATTATTGAGAAGGTATGTTAGTTAAAAGTTAAACTAAAAAACAAAACAAAACATGGAAGTCCCACTGCATTTGAATTTTGAAAACTTTTATTCCATTATATAAAAGTTAGTGGGGTAAATTTGTTTCTTACAGTGTCACATTAGCGTTAAAGAAAGAGCTAGTTTCTTGTTTGTTAGATCAAAAGTGTTAGTGCGTAAGGTGGTTTTCTCCAATTTTAATTTCTATAAATAGCTCTTAGAACTGCTTTGATTATAAAATGCTGTTATTAAGATGGCATACTTAATTTTATTTGACTCTATTGAGTTTTACCAATTCTAAACTTCATTTTTAAAGTATATGATTGTAGAAAGAACCAGTGTGCCCTGTCCAGGAAAAACTAATAGTAATCTGATAAATAGTTAATGTTAGATACTTGTATCTATGATCTAGAATAGAATCAGTTTACAAATCATGAACATAAAATATTTTCACCGGTATTGTTTCTTCTTACTCAATTCAGAGTCTTTTTCAGGAAGTAGGAATAAAAGTAGATGGCTATATGGGCAGTACTTCTCCAAAAGGGCATTTCTCTTCCTTGGATATTGCTGTCTGCACAATTGAGAGAGCCAATGGTCTGATCAATAGCCTCATAGAAGAAAATAAGATGGATTTATTAGGTAAGAAAATTAGGAAATAAGCAAATACTTTATATTGTTATTTTTTGGTGGAATGGAGTGGAGCTGTTGTGATTTCTGTTACGTCCCATGTTTTCTTCTACTGTCTATCATCTGCTTCTGGAGGTGAGTATTGGCATTTGTAATGTTAGCAACATTACAGGTGGGGGTGGGGGAAAATGTTTTGTGTTCTGCTGCTGTTATTGACTCCACTTCCTTATATTTTTGCCCTTTACAAAACATAGAGGATATCCTTGAGCCCTCAAGTCATTTCTCATTGCTTCTTTCCTGTCTAAACTTTACCTGCAATAGAAGGAGGCATGCTGGGGCTGGATCTGCCATCTATGCAATTAGTGTGTATGTGTATTAATTATATTCTGGTGCTATGGTATCTAGATTAGGCCTGTACTCAGAGGCTACCTTTTAGCAGAGAAATGGTAGAGAGCTACAGAAACTGACATTGTGTTTGAGCTTGTGACTCTAGGAAGATTTTCTACCTTAATGTTTTTTTTTTTTTGTGTGTGTGTGTGTGTTTTAAAATACCACTTAGGAAAGGCCCCTATGTTGAGGTAGTAACAGGAAGAGAATTATTGTAGCAGCAACAGAAGCAGCAAAAATATCAGCTACTTCTTGAGATTCTGGTGAATTTAAATAATAAAGTTGCAGTAGGGTAGAGGTGGGGAGTGTAATCAGAGATTAATAAGACTTGGGCTCTGCTCTATAAAGTTTGGAAAAAGAAATCACATTTATCAGTTTGTGTCAGAATTGTCATTTCTTGTCACCCCATTGGACTTTAAATATATTGAGGGATTGCAATAGAATTTTATTAAGGGTTATAGCCAATGTGCCTGGCAGTATGCCTAGCACAATGCCTGGCACACTAGGTAGCATAAAACCTTTTGGATGAATGAATGAATAAATACTGAAATAACTCATCATACAATATAATTTGGAGATAGCTTACTGATGAGGAAAAGGAGCACCACGTGTCAGGAAATGGTCTGAAAGATCTTGATTTTGGTGGGGAGGATTTGTTGGGAGGGGATACCAGTGCATGTGGAAACTATGATGTTATGTAAACGTTTACCTGAAGAAGGCATTGGTTGATACTAAATTTTCAC